AAACGGTTAATAAAATAGAGTGATTGCTGGTTTAACATCTAGAGTGATCAGTCTTATTTTACACTCTGGGTAAACAAACTATAAAAGAAACTCGAAAAAAATACTGTAAATAAACACGTGAGAAATGCGTTATACTACGATACTGTTTCATATCTTTAAGACTGAAAGAATGAAGAAATATCTTTTGCTCATTATCATCCCGTGGCTAGTAGTATTTATGAATAAATAGACGTTTATAGGCGTCACCTAAGATGCTTTTGAAAATTGTATCTGTTAATTCAAAGTTACTAGATTTTCCAGACGAACTACATCAAAGTTGGGTCACCGCATGGCCTCTACAAAACTGACCCTGATTCATAATGGGCAGGTGACCCCAGCCTCGCAGCCATATTAACATCACACGGCGTTCGACAAACAACGCATTAAGGAAAAAGATTAGCAAAAATTATCTTATATTATCATCTATAATTTAACACTTCAAATTATACAAAGGAGTCACATATTGGGCAAATATAATACTACAAATGTAGTCGAACGACTACGATGTTTAATTGTTTGTTGTTGATTAAAAACTATAAAACGAATGGGGGCTATGTTGTAATAGCCATATGAAGATAATGCTCATTACACCAAGTCAATCGATCACGTTGACCGCATTATGAACAGTGTTGGTTCAGGTCATGTTGAGAACCTTTTTCATGCGTCGTTCCTGAAAGGGTCCGCGAAGGGTCGACTCGGTCCCTGCTAATCGTATGGATGTCTCGCGCCGCGCACGAGATAATGACAATTGTTTAATCGAATCACATATCCTGGGGTTGCAAAAAACCTGACTGATTATGTGCCAAATGTCACGATATTGCGGTTACTTTTCCTTTCTTGCATTCAAATGTTCAATTTTAAATAAGTGTAATATTTCACGTATTTATTCGTATTTTGCTCTAAAAGAAAGTCTTTAACAACTAGAAGAATATAATGTGGAGGCGAAAGTAAGGCCCATCGGACTCCTGAACAGAAGTTAGGTTAGACTGACAATAGATATGTTGTTGTACAGGGCTGGCTGCACTAGGGAGTTTGATGTATGGGTTGATGTTATGGAATAGCTAGGCCTATGTCAGTCAGGGTTCTTGTTGGTTCTTTGTCGAGATTTTAGCTTTTATTGTCCCCTTGATAGAAGGTTAAATTCCCCGAACCCTATTCCCCAAAATTATAACTGTTAGTTTGTGACAGATATCGTAGTATTTGAGAGGATGATGTATTAAGGGGAAGTATTTCCTGACGTAAATATCGTCTATTTACCGCCACGTGTGCTGTTGTGTCGTCTGCTCACGAGTTACGTTGTATTAGGTTGACTGATGTACGTTTAATATGTTAAGAGTTTGTAAATACCGTATTAGCTTGAGAATGTCCCCGTATCAAATTTTATTACACACATACCGAGGATTTAGTGTGGATTGAAGCTTTACGCTGTTAATGTAATTCGTGTTACCCACGTCAGGAAATATATAATTATATCAGATCATATATTTTTTTCTGTCGGTGTAGATGGAATCTATTCTAGAATGTTAAACTTAAAATAATAGTTTAAATGTAATTATTTTCACTCTTACTAGGATTTTGGTCAGCAATTTATTATCCAGGTCACTTTTATCATAAAGCCTTTGATATTCGAAATTCTGCTAACAATATGAATTCAGTGAGTTTGATATGTAAAATTACTTGAACATTTATGATTTGTTAACGGACTTCTATATGTTATAGATGCTTTTCAATTCTGCAGCCACTTCACCGATAGTTCTAATATTTAGCAAGTGTTTTATGGGTCAGATTTCTATTGAAAATTATCCCACTTATTTAGCAGTCTCATCATACAGACACTCTAGCCAAGAACAAAAATCGGCTATAAAAACCAAACTGGCCTCTTAAGAGCTTTATTCTTTTCTATATCATTTTGACATCATTTTTTGATTGTAGTTTATTACTCCATGACATTTTGACAGTGATTCACGCTTCGGACCCCATTTGTTACATGTCAGAGTCCACGCCATACTGTTTATGTCGGTATTATTTGGAATTTTCTAAAACAAGATATGCTTTTTTTATATACCAACTTAAGATGAAGATTTGTGAATAGCAAAAAAAAGAAAAGAGAAAATGATCTCAACAATACGTCCTTAGTACTTAGTATTTCTTCTATGAAATTCTACAAGCTAAATCTGATGAAAATCCTTGAATAGATGAAACTACTAAGGACGTGTTGTTGGGAAGCTTTTTTTTAAAATTGTTTCTTCGTCGGGAAGGATAATTTTACTACTGTGTTAATATATTTGTCACGGACATAAAAAAATATGTTTCATATTCTGTATATCAGATTTTTTTTGTCTTTGTTATCTTCTGTAAAAAAGGCGAATTGATTATGACAGTGAACCTTAACCAATTATCCCATGAAGACACTTTTGAACTCTTCCAATTCAAAGGTTGGAATAGTTCATTATGAAATTTCAGGGGGGAATGAGTTAAGTACACAGTGTAACGTTGAAGGCAAACATATGTGAAGGGCGAAATTAACACTAAGCGAGTATAGATTTTACCAGTGAAGGGCGAACATTTTCAGTCTATACAGTAAATATATAACAGTATAAATGGCTGTTAAACATATAATGTACCCCATTCTTTAATCACAAAGTGATCATCACAATAAGCACTTCACTGTAGGGATGTAAAATAGCCAGGGGCTTCATCGATAACTCAGGTTTTGAGATATTTTTGAAATGTTCCATGATATAAATAGATATACCATGATGAACAGAAATTACATAGGAATCTTTGGTCTACGTTGGAAGCAGATAACATGTTGATGTCCAACTATCAGATTTCCGTTTCTTCGATTTCTCAGACTTGTTCATTGTGTCTGAGACTGTCGGTGATCTTCACAGATTCTAGGATTTTAGGGAGGACAGCAGGTCAGTAATCACATGTGGTGTGGGAAACTGTTTCGGAATACGTGGTTTTATCTCCTTTGTTTTGCTGTCATTTCGGTTACGTTCCGATTGTTTTCTTTCGCAAAGACTTTGAGCCAAACAAACTATCATTACAGTATTTCATATCACAGAAAAAAACGCGAAAAACCTTTGATAATCCAAACACTACTTTCAGGTAATACTGTATTTGTTGACATCTGCATTCATGTGTTATCCATGAATATATTTAGCTGTCTATAATTTTACCCTATAGGGTAATCTATATTTTAATCTATATTTTGGGATTAAAAAACATTATCTATTACGGCATATGTAGTTGTTACTCTGATGTTGTCTTTCTGTATCTTTGCTCGTTTGCTTTCTGAACTGTAGTTTTCTGTACGTATTGTCAGGAAATGTTTAATATTCCTGGAAAATTGCAGTAGCTTTATCTGTCGCAAAGAAATTATCGTTTGTCCATAAATAAACTCCTTTTTAACATAATGCATCAGAAGATGCTAACCTCCCCATATGCAGACATCTAAATGTCTGGTAGCTCATTGATTAGTTGCAAAGGTATTATCTTAATTGCATCGTCAATTTCAAATGATGTTATTGGATCAGATAGTCACGTGATTTTGACTAGCAACCCTCATCTCATGAATATGCAAAGCAATCAATTTGTTCTGAGAGAATATTAATTTGTAATGCTAATATAAATCACGATTCCTCATGAATCATACCCTAGACCACTATAAACGCTAACTAATTTTCTTTTCTTCAAGAGATAATTACACTCTCGAACAGCCAACCAGAATCAGCTTGCCAGCTTCACATTAAATGCTCCTCAGGGATTTTCAATTTCCCTTCTTCATTATTTGTCAGATATGTGTTAATTTCCAACAACGTCATTATCATAATAAATTCTAAAATACAAAGCCATGCGTCTTTAAATCATTTTAATTCTTAACAAATTTGTTTCTGTTTTGGTTTTTGTTGTCTTCTGTTCATCGTTTTTGTTTTGTTATGTTATTTGTTTTTGGTTTTCTTTTCAGGCGTTTTGTTTCGCTTTGTTTTGTTCAGAGTGTCTGTGTAAAATTGTTTATGTAAAAAAATATGATCGTTTGTTATTTGTGCAATAAGAATATTACAACAGTCAGTTATGCGTGTATTTGTTCATAAATAACTAGCTTACGAGTTGTTATTTGATAGAAAACATTTAAGACTTACGATGACACATCGATCTGTTATCGTCCTTTGTCAAACAAAGTGTATGCATTCCAACTTCAGTTTTAAATTCGTCTTAATACAAATCGTTCATTTTAAAATACTTAACTCTGACTCTGACTCACTTTTATATACATAAATAAGCAGGTCGTATATTTGAATAATTCCTGTTAAAACAGATAATGGTAAGTACTCCTAGAACATTGATTTTATAAATAATTACTTAAGTATTCAGTGTAATAATAATGAGATGTGTACAATAAATTTATATCAGTTCACGAAGGGAGAAACAAGAGAGTTATACTCTTGCTCAAACGACATTTCATATTTCAATTAAATATGCGCACATTATTTTAAAGTCTTTCTTCGGAATTGAATACACGAATTTGTTTAGAATTCGTTCACCTCATGTTTTAAAATAAACATGTAATTTCTGGTTTTGTATCGAATGTAATGTCAGTTGTAATTTTTTAAACCTGCCAGTTTTAACGTATGGTAAGCAAACGCCTGATCGTATGCGAGGGGTCTTTTATCAGACGTATTTCCTGTTCAGTGTATCGGTAAATTGCACATATATTAGATATATATAAATGGTGTTAATGCATCAATTTTATACTGGATTTAATCTATTTTATTTCCCGAGTGCAGACAAGGCAACGTCTCCTTTAGGTCTCACGAGAGCTGGAATCAGATAAAAAATGTTTTTTCAACCGTTCATCACTCACATAAAGAAAAAAAGCAATGAATCTATTTAATAGATTGTATTTTGTTCAATTTAAAAGTTCTATCAAAATAGATTTACATCAAACTTGTCATTCAAAAATAAATCAATAAATAGATATAATAAAAAGTCAATTTAAGTCAATCAAAGGCACTTTTAAATAGAGTTCACAGAGATAATATTGCACGAAGAAAAGAATTGCACTTTTTTTGTCGTTGGGCATTCCCCTTGAACATTGTCTAGCGGAATGTCGGATCATTCAATTTCATAGTCTTCATCACTTTGGTCTGTTATCAATGGCGTGTCTAATTTCTTACAATCTTCAGGACTGTTAATAAATTCCGAATCCTGGGTACAATCGTATTTGTCGGATGGTCGCCGCCTATCGTTTCTTTGTGTACATGTGCGCAAACATCGACAAGATTCGCGTGCATCTGGTACGCCCTCCTTTTTGTATTTTACACGGCGGTTTTGAAACCAAATTTTCACCTGTTTCTCCGATAGATTGAGGTATGTGGCAATCTCAATGCGTCTAAGTCGGGACAGGTACATGCTTGTGGAGAATTCTCTTTCCAGTTCTAGAAGTTGAGTACTGGTGAAAGCTGTCCGGATTCTTTTGCTACTGTTGCTGAGGTCCTCTGTGGAACTGGTTACGCCTAGAGGAGATAATGGTTATAATTACGAATCTACCGAATTGTGGGTCATATCCTCCTAATGATTTCTATTATCAGTCACGTGATTTGGTATGTTACAAAAGTCATATATTGATTCTTTGTCAGCGTTTTTTCCTTCTTAATTAACGTTTGTATAGATTTTAGTAGTGTTATATACCGTTAACATACCATATTATCCTAGTCTGAAATGCCATTACTTCCACTATGGTTAAATATGACGTCATAAAATTGTTTTCTTTGTGCACTATACATTAAAACACTTATTATTTTTTTGCATTAAAGTTGACAAATATAACATACTTATCGTTATATAATAACCAGTCACGTGGTTATTTACATATTTATATATGTTTCGTTAGAATGAACGTGATTATTTATAAATTTATCCATCTTTATACTATCTCGTTATTATACACACACATATATATATATATAAATATTGCTGCCGTATTTCTATATATAGATATCGCGTGATTCTATTTTAGTATACAAGTCTTACTGCGATAATTCTTCACATTTTCAGATATCTTAGTATACATTAATGCACAGTGATATTCATCCTAGCAATAACAAATCTTGACTATAAGCTGTAACGACAATACCACCGCTATGCGATGACATGCTTGATTTAACAGCACTCTCTTACATTTCAAATGTGTGAACCTCTGTGATAGTCGACCTATACACTAACACATCATTTTGATTTTAGAAATATCAGTATTCATTAAATTGTTTCAATGATGAAGAATACTTTATTTCATTGTTTCGTTATTTTTATTTAAGCCGAGCATACAAAAAATAAGATAATGATGAAATGAGCAATTAAGTATTTAAACCTTTTTTTTCCATAAATAAAGTATTTATGACACCTTTCTCGTAGGCAAGTGAGCGTCAGACAAACTTTGTAACAATGTGACAGTTCCCGTGTAAAAGCTTCCTCGATTAAATTCACACGTTTCTGAGTTTTATGAACATCTAAGTCCCTGCACAGAATATAAATTAGGTAGCGGTGTAAAATGTTATACATGAAGCAAACAGGACACCGGAAAAATCTGTTTCAGCCCATTTTACGTTGAATATCTTATTACGCCTATTGTAGGGTTAAAAACCTGTTAGTTTAATGGAATATAAAGGAAATGCTAAATAAAGAGAATGTCATTGAAAATATGAATGTCTGATATCAAATAAACATCTTTACAAATATGATTTAGGTATTTTTGGATTAAATATTGATTCTATCAATAAATGTTTGATTCAAATAAAGCATATGGTCGAGATAATGTTACGATTGCAATCATTTGTTGAAATACAGGAGTGTGTTTGACAAATAAATGCAACCGATTCAATATTTTCATTTCAACCTTTTTTAAGATGAAATACTGCTATTAATCATTTTCATTTCATTGTAATAATCACAATTTGTTTAATGCAATTGGTAATATTTCTGACGTAGTATTCGTTCTGCTAAGTGGAATATTAAAGAAAATACGAATAAATTGTGAAAAAAACAAAAGGGTTTGTAATATGCTCACAGGCACGAAACAAGCAAATTATACAATACAATATAAATTGATCAATAACTATAATTACATCATTAGCAAAAATCCCTCAAAGTAAAGGCAACGGGGGAAAGGCAGGTAAAATAAATATAAAAATGAATATTTTGGATGTAAATTAAGTTTTCTTACCGATACTAGGTAATCGATTCCTCTTAAGGTTTTCTGTCTGTGGTAGAACGGGGCTCCGAATAGGAGAGGTCGGCTGCTGATGCTGTTTTACCTGGAAAGGCGGATGGTGATATCGTGAAACACTGTAGCCTCCTTGGTGCAAGTTGTGACCACTAGGACTTGTAATAATGTCATGTTTAGTGAGAGGGAGGGCTGCAGAACTTCCCTCAGCTATCAGGGACGTAGGGGTGTGGACACAGAGTGGACAACAGTAGCTGAGTATGTCCGCGGGGTGACGAGGATAACATGATAGGGCGTGGTCGGCTTGATGATGCAACGGATGATGTGAAGGATGGCGATGGACAGCGTGAAGTCCACTGGACATATGAATGTTCGAGGCGTGTGACGTAACAATCGATTCACTAACGGACAGAGGTGATGTCACCGTTGGCTTTTTCACAATTAAGGAATCTACGTAAAACGACCGAGACATTTTTACTCTGGGATAAGTCACGTCAATTTAGCTCATACCCATTTAAGTACTCGACGGAGCATGTAACTGATATAAAGCGGGTACCGTACAGTCGAGTTAAGGTTTCCGAAGTAAGCAAGCCGTCATTGGCTGGAAGACATTTATACCCCTGTCTAAGCACGCTTTTGTGTTGTCTCACGTGGTCAATGATCCAGCGTTTGTACCCGCCTCGATCAATCAGCGACTCGACTCACTACAATTCCTTTCATACGCAAAATACTTCTCTAATACTTGTTAAATATTCATTTTACGCTAGACATAATCTCGATAGCTTGTTAATCATTATTCATGATGTGTAGTGATGTGACTGTTTCATATATGGTTGATTTTCGTTTCTTTGGCCACGGGTAGAAACAGGAACTGTCACTAGCAGATCTGTTGTGTATTTTTACGGCTGGACTTCCACGGGCAGCGTGTCACGCGCCTGTCGCGTGTCTGTTATATTTTTTAAAGAAAAGGTCGAGGAAATTCAGGACGTTTAAGAACGCAGAGTTAAGATTGACGAGGCTGGACAAGTACTAGTCTTTGACGAAACAATTTGTTTCGTTTGACAAGTTAAGTCATTCATGAAACAGGTTCTGAATAAAAAGTGTGCAATAATAATCGGACTATTATCTTTATGACAAATTGTATGAAAAATCTCAAATGATTTATATGATAATATGAGCTTGTCATCCGATAATAAATGGATCAAATTTTTCTTTAATTACGTACTAAAACAAGCCTTATGTACTTGGAATATCGGATACAAATCGTTTGCATCTATTATTGTTTTCAAAATAAGAATAAACCATCCTCGAAACTGTTAGATCCACCCCACTAGTCTGCCTTGAGCAAGTCGAAGGAGCACTTGGCGGTGTCAAGTAGTCGGAGTTAATTGCTATAGAGGCAAGCCCCGGGACAAGATGATGTGATTTAAATATACAGAATTAGATTGCATGAACTGGTAAATTTGAAGGACCACCATCAATTACCCGTCAACAAAATGTGCCACGCGTAACAAATCTATATAAAGGCTTGTTTACTTAAGGGGTTTTAACACAAATTATTTACAGATGAGAGTGTATTTATTTATTCATGGATATCGTATGCTATATTGAATATCACCGTAATCGCTTACCGCTCTTCTGCAAATTATAAAAAGGGTTTCATGTCTCACTATGAGGAAGCACTTATTTGATTTTTTTTATAACGATAATAGTTAAATAAATTTAACAATGAATTGCACCATTGGTCCATTTGGGACTCACCAGTGATACTAAAAGTCACAGGAACAAGTCTAAAATGTTCCGAACGATATATGTATTATCACCAAAAAAGGAAAAGTTTCTGTATAAACATTCACACCGTTACATATCTGCAACAGATACCTTAGTAATTTACGTTAAGGATAGTATTTTATAATAACTGTGATAATCAGACACATCGTATATTGATTTGTAAACATTAATCCTAATTTGATACTTAATATTTTTTATACATTACATGGAAAATCATCTGTTATCTGTGGCAAGTCTATAGACAGATGTGAAATGCCCTATTTATTAATTAAAAAAAGCCATTATTTCTTCAATTTTGCTTTGTGCTTAATAATTTCGAAACAATGAACAAATACTACAATTTCAATATACCAAACAAAAATCTGAATGTCAATCGATACTATGAAAACAAAAACATAAACAAAAGATACATCATAACAAAAGGAGGAAAGAAGATACCCTTATAAAAACTGACGGTTTAACATTTTAGGTGATCCAGGGGAAAATAAATATAGTGACAATGTTATATTTTGAAGGATACACTGAGTGAGAAGTCATGCAGAAATGGAAAGAATAAAGGTTTTTCAAACAAAGGAGGCTTGCTACATTGTAAGGCGTGCAAATTGTGCAGCGTACACAGCACATATTACTACTCAGTATAAACGTTACATACCTGGTCCATGCTCAGGACCCTAACAGCTAATGAAATATGTAATATGAATCCCGCACACTGCTTGTGAGGAATTGAACTATTGCCACCTCATAGTCATTTTAAACTGACCATTGTGTCCAAGGCCATTAGTCCAGTTCACGTCAATTGACATTACTTGACCATGGGTCAAGCCAATTTTAATGACGTTTTGATAGATTCGGCTGATACGGTTTCGAAACCTGATTTTGTGTCATATCACAAAATGTATAAAACCCGCTCGTTAAGTGGTCATTAAGCCACGGTTTAAGTGTTGAACTTGTACATCTTCAGGAATATTAGCAGGAGAAGGCGATACTAAACGCGTGCCACATTCGATATCTAAACGTCAAGACCAGCGTTCATTTCAAAACAGCGTGTAGGATTAGTTTGGTATCTACGTAAACAGACCTGTAGGGAACCTTACAATACGGTCGTTATCCGAGAAGTCATAAGAATACGTAAAATAACCTGTAAGATGCCAAGCCTAACAAAAGCCGTTAAAATGAACGAACGATAATCCCTTCATTCATGAAGTCACAATAATGTACAAAATGCAATCTTGATGGATGTTAGCTATTGATACCGTATTTTGTAAGAAGCCCGTCGCGATCACCGCTTGTATTCGCAAAGTTGTTACTTAATGGGTTCGACCGACCCTCCAGAACATAAAACATGAGTTGTTATTGTCTGTAAGGGGTTGGATTCCATGTCCTAGTAATGACCTTCGTCTTTGAACGAGTAAGGCTTCAATATTATCTTTTCATTGTCGACTGATGCATTATATCATTGGTGCAATTTACGATCTATCTGTGTTACATTTCCTTTGGACGTTTTGTTAGTTTTATCTAAAGAGGGTACTTTCAGCGACATGGTTGCCGACGATAATCCATGCATAATGCTCCATATTCTCTTTTTTTCTTTTTCTTTTACAATGTGTTTTTCTCTGCTATTATATCATCAATTCGATGTTACATATATAAATTTGTCAAATGGAGAAATCTCATGATAGGTATTTTTACTTCCATTAAACATTTAAAAAAATGTATTGCAAGGTAAGGATTTACCTGTTCTTTACAAGTTCGATACTATGTCATTAATTTGGTTTCTGTTGATTTCCTGCAATAGGTCTTTATCTGTTAGACAGGACACGACACACTTATTTTTCCTGCATAGACTTTTTATAAATACATTGGTACCACCAATAAATGTAATCCGATAAAATAGCTGACTGATAGCCTAAATTTAGTTAACCTCAACCGTAATGTGTTTTAAGCGGCCATTGCATACTGTACAAGTAAAGTGTAATCTATGGATAAACAGATACAGGGCCTTTTGTCTGTTTTAAGGTAGCATTGTTCTGGTTTTCTTATAGAAATTATAAATGATACATTTCACAGTAACTTATCAATATGAAACTTGAAAGTGGATTAAAACACATGACCATTTCTCTGTCCGAGTGCGACATTTTTTACAGGCATGATAAAACGAAATACATTTTCTTAGTAATTGTCAGGATAGACAGAAACAAGGTCTCGTTATGGTGCAAATACTTGTCAAAATAAATGTTTAAATTTCAAAAGGGTTGATGATACATTGAGTAGAATATACCGAAGTTGTTCAGAAAAAAGGAATTGCATATTTTATGTCAGCGGTAAAGCGAGTTGGAAAATAAAGCAAATGCCATCTTATCGCAGTTTTACTTATATGCTATGGGGGCGCAATCATGTAGTATGGAGTAGCTGGAACCACGCAAAAACAGCAGCGACAGACAGATTGGGTTGGGTTGGGGGAGGGCGGAGAGACTTCAGGTTAAGATAAGGATGAGCTTTCAAAGTATCCCGTCAAATACATATACGATAATATAACGCAAATAGTCGCAATTTCATTGAAGTTTCTTCAGTGCTAATTCAGGCTGGTTAAACTTGTCAAATTGTAGCCTGAAGGTTTCGCTGAATATTGATACTTGTTTTGTTTTTTCTGAGGGGTTCTTTTCTTTTGACAGATTATTTTCTCTATTGTATTTTATTTTATTAAATAAATGAAACCAACGCATTAACAGAAAATCAATCCATCTTTACTGTAACTCTTTGTGACATCGTCACATGATATGAAATTCGCCAAAATAGATCCCGTGAAATTGAACATTTAAGGAAATTTGCAAAATATGTTATAGCGGGTACCGCAGTACTGGTATAGTGATTCCCCACCCTTCCGTAACACCAATAAATTTAGTTTTTTTGGTCAAATATGCCCTTTCTTTTCTTTGTACGATGTGTCTTCTCTGATGTTGTGTCTAACGTGTATGGTGTGTTCTATGCAACAGACTTTTTCTCTAAGTTGTAGACTTAATATATCCGCATTTCAGGATAGTAATACCTCTTACAGCGTGCATTATTTACAGCAGACCAGACTTAATACTGCAACAGGCACAGTAATATTTGCCTCTTAAGACATTTAATGTGTTTGACAGGTGTATTCTACACGGTAGCTAATGCATCCTCATATCGATAACATTGAGAAAAGAACCTTAACTGTTTCAAAAACACAACAACATTGAAACGATTTAATCTGAACCAATTACATTATCAAACAGAGCGATTACCACACAGTGTCACTCTGATCCCAGCACTGTAAAATTCGTGTATATCTAATTACATGTCTAATTAGTATACAATTAGTGGTTTCCATGCTGAATTATTTGCGTTTTAACACGGGCTTTTCATGTTTGAGTGAATTAAGCTTGAACGTGTAATTGTCACCGTGGTACGTTCTATGTAGTGAACTGTGTCTGCTAGGGTGCACCTTGTTTTGCACTGTGTGCCAGTCACACCGGACCAGATTGCACCCTGGTTACGTTCTGATTGATGTGGTGCTAATTTGCATAATAAATTACATCTCTAAATCACAGGAATTTGAATAGACTTGAATTTAAAGCCCACAGCTTTTGTTCGTCAGTTGCTATTCTTCTATTTTCTTCTCTTCAAATTCT